GAGTGAATTTATCCAGATTGCAAAATGGTGCAGCCTCTGTGGAAAATGGTATGCGGGTTCCTCAAACAGTTGCAGATAGATCTACCATATGACCCAGCTATCCTACTGCTGGGAATATATCCAAAGGAATGGAAATCATCAAGTCGAAGGTATACTTGTTTCCCAATGTTCATTGCAGCACTCTTCACAATAGCCAAGAGCTGGAATCAGCCCAAATGTCCATCATCGGATGAGTGGATATGGAAAATGTGGTATATCTACACAATGGAATACTACTCAGCTATAAAAACGAATGAAATTCTGCCATTTGCAACAACATGGATGGACCTTGAGAGAATAATATTAAGTGAAACGAGTCAGGCAGAGAAAAAGAAATACCACATGTTCTCACTTATTGGTGGGAGCTAAAAATAAATAAATAAATTCACTCTCTCACACACACACACACACACACACACACACACACAAATAACCGGGGGTGGTGGGGGAAGAAGATATAACAACTAAAATTTTTTTGAAGTTGTTACAACAAGCAAACAGAAAGGACATTCTTGGGTGGGAGGGGGGAGAGGGAGGAGGGAGGGAGGTTTCGGTGATGGGTCATAATAATCAACCACATTGTATATTGACAAAATAAAAATTTAAAGGAAAAAAAAAAAACATATATCATGAGGGTCATTTTGTCTGGGATTAGAGCTCTGGTCTTCAGCCTCTGCAGTCAATGAAGGCCAGTGCATGGAGACCCAGGTCTTCTTGGTGAAGCCTCCTGCCTCCGGTCCCCTAGTGAGAAAAACATGGAGCAGGCCTGAATCCCAGGGACCCAGGCGGTTGGGCAGATGCCCTCACTGAAGGCCCAGGTCCCTCTAGACACCCATAGTCCTGGCTGGGAGTAGCTGGGAAGCCAGCCTGGGAGAACTGAAAGAGGGGAGGCAGAGGACTTGGAAGAGCTCAGTGGAGTCAGGATTTGAAACCTTTGTGAGCGGACTGCAGAGTTGGGCCCATTCTCCAGAGCTCTCCATGATCACGTGTCAGATGACCATGACAGAAGTCTGTGTCTCTGCATTACCCAACACAGTGGCCCCAAAGTGCCCCCGTGAGCCTCACCTGCTCCTCTTCTCTCCCCTCCTTCCCTTTCTCTGTCTCCTCCTTCTGTCCTCTCTCTCCCTCCTAGCTCAGGGTCCACCATCTGTGCTCGCTAAATCCCTGTCTCCTTTGTTTACTTTCCCCGGAGACCTTAGCAGTTGGGCCCCCCACCTCCCTGACCTATGCTCCCTCTGGCCACACCCACACCTCCTCCTTCCTTACTCTCCAGGCCTCCACCCCCAGCTCGTTGTTTGGACCCAGCCCTTCTGCCTCACTCCCATCAAAGGACCCACGAGACACCATGCACAGCCCCAAGCTCTAAGCCCCATGCTAGTGTGTTAGGGATATGGCCACTTGAACTATGTCCCCGCTAATCTGGAAATTTTACTATTCATGAAACCACACCTTGTTCCTAACCTTGAATAAGCAGGCATAGGAGCTCCTGGCCTTTACAGATCTCCATCTGCATATTTTATCACTCTCTTTGCTGCAGGTTGAAGAACCAGCCCTTCCCTTCCAAGATTCCTGGAATCATCTTTCACTTCCACTTCAGCTCTTATCACTTGAGGACCTCACCTTAGCCTGAATGAGATCTAGAATATCCTTTCGTACCTGGTCTACTTGTCAAACTGCTACTCTTTGTCTTCCAGATGGTTCTAATGTCACCTCCTATAGGAAACTGACCCTGACTTCTCCAGGTTGAGCTCAGTGCTTTGATCTCTGAGTGCCTTATGCTGAGTGACTTGGGCACGTCCCTGTTGGAGACTAGGCGCATCATTATAATGGTCTATGCACATGCCTGTCTGCCCACAGAGGAGCCCTGGAAGGCAGGGGTAAGGTGTTCATCTTGCCCCCCTTTTCTCTGGTGCCAAGCACCCAAAAGGCCCTTACAACTTTTTGTGTTTGAATGAGTAAATGAAAATCTAAATGTGTCTTGTCAGGTTTCCTGCACTGCCCTGAGGAACAGGGATGAGAATGCCCACTCCATGAGAATGAGAAGCACTTCCATCTTTTTTGATTCTGAGACCCAGCACCTTACTCAGTGCCTGGCACTCCATGTATATTTGTGCAATGAATGAACTTGGTGGCAGAAATGCTCAAGAGCTTGTCCCCATGAAACCCTCCCCGGTTTTCCATTCTGCTTTTCCAGTACTGACAGGAACCCTTTGCTGTTGCTCAGGCCCTTCCAATGCCCTCTGTTGTAGCACTCCGCCATTTGTGTCTTTGTCATTCCACTGTGTCCCCCTCACAAGGACAGTATCTCATCCATCATCACATCCCTAGCCTGGTACAGTTAGACACTCAATCCAACTTTGACAGCTGAACGCATATGTATCTGTTTGACAGACAAAAGTTTTGTTCTCTTAGGACACAGCCAGACTCTGACTCCAGGTGAGCAACTGTGGTGCCCAGAAGAGGAGAAGCAGAGGCAGGAGATGCCCATATTGCTGGGCCCTCACCACCCCCATCAAGGCTGACGGGCCCTTGGTATTGAGTAGCTGCTATATAGCTCTGAGAAGGAAATGGGAGGGGCACAAGCCCTCATTATTCATGGCAGCATTTCCTAGGCTCATTAATTCTAACAGAATGTGCTGGGTTTGATTAATCGGGTTGTTAAGCAGCCATGTCAAATTGCCGATCAGGTAAGAGACATTACTTCCGGTCCCTGGCAACGGTGCCAAGCGACAGTGAAGTCTTCACTCCTTGCTTCCCAAGCAGCAGCCACAAGACGAGGCAGGAGGAGCTGCAATTGGGGCACAACAGATAACAAGTCCTGAGCTCTCCACCTTGGCTGTGGATGTGGGACCATCAGGGCTCACTGGAGACCCTGAGCCTCAACGTACTTATCTGGAAAAGGAGGGAGCATGACCTGGCCAGGTGCCTGTGCCCCGCTAAGGAGCCAAGAGGCCGCTGCTTCCTCTGTAACAGCTTGCTCAGCCCCCCACACTTCCCCTTGGGACTGGACAACCCAAAAAGCAAAATCAGAACTTGCTCCTGGCACTACAAATATCAGAAAGCAAGGACACCAAAACTCTTACAAAAGTTTTACTTTGATGAAGGAAGTGATCCAGAATTAAAAGAAAAAAAAATCCATAAAGAAGCTATTTTAACTTTAGTATGCATGCAAATTTTGTATTTTATGATTTAGTACAGTTTTATGTACATTTGGGAGAAGGGCCATAATCTTTTTAGTGTTTAGGGCTTCTAAAAGGCCTTCACCTGGACCCTTCACCATCTGTGCTGGTCAGACCTGCATGTCTTCAAGAAGAGAAAGGGAAATGAGCCAGCAGCCACATGAATTCAGGTTAGACCTAATTAAGATGTTCCTTGCAGTGAATTCAGTCAAAAGCTACAATGTGGAATGTGGAAACTGAAATGGATCCCCCCTCTGCCCTGGTAAAAATCTCTCAATATAAGACAGATCCCTATTGAAGAGAAAGGGTACATGACTATCTCAAGGTCA